ATACATCAAATTAATCTGCAATAGAGCCAACAAACAACTTCGAGATATCCTTTAGATAAAATACAAAGCGTTAAACTGTCATAAAACTTTGAGATAACATTGTTAGCAAATATAGTAATACAATTTACACGGTCATAAAACTTCGAGATAACCTTGTTATCAAACATAGTAATACAACTTAAACTGTCATAAAACTTACTCGAATTCGAGATAGCCTTGTTAGCATACATCAAATTAATCTGCAATAGAGCCAACAAACAACTTCAGCCTCCCCTTTAGATAAAATACAAAGCGTTAAACTGTCATAAAGCTTCGAGATAACCTTGTTATCAAACATAGTAATACAATTTAAACTGTCATAAAACTTCGAGATAACCTTGTAAGCAAACATAGTAATACAATTTACACGGTCATGAAACTTCGAGATAACCTTGTTAGCAAACATAGTAATACAATTTAAACTGTCATAAAACTTCGAGATAACCTTGTTAGCAAACATAATTATATACTTTAAACTGTCATAAAACCAACATGACTTCGAGATAATCTCGTTAACATAAATAGCATTAAACTGTAATAGAACTTCGACATATTCTGAACTCCTCCAGTTTGATGTTACATGCCATAACGAACAATGATAAACGAAATGCATTATAACAGACAACCATCGACATACCGCGGTTATCAACATCTCGTTAACGTGATAAGATATCATTTGGAGTCCCGGTATTGTTTACGTATAGGTTTATGTATCATATACATACCGATGTTGATAATAAGCACAGTATAACAACGATTTGTACATTTCTCCACAACTCAATATAATAGCGACAATGAGTGAAAAAGAAGGTCAGAAAAGTTCTAAAAACTAAGGATAATTAAGTTAACGGTTATGCACTGAACGAATTAAGGAAGCTCCTATAGACACTCTAATATCAAAATATAGAATTCAAAATCAGTGTTACTGTTTCAAAAATAAGAACTATTTGAAAATAAAAAAGGATATTTGAATATATAGACAGAGAAAGGTGAATTTTAAATTGTTAAGCGTTATACTGGCTGGTTTGATATGTTAGCTATAGACAAGTATCTCATATAATTTATATTATAATTACATGTAGTCTGTGATATTATGCAAATTATTCGAATTAAAATTAGTGTTGAATACATTAAGTTTACTGACGACCTTGTCTGGTTTTGACAGCGGCTCTTGACGTTACATCCTCGCCTTAACGAAGGTCGTTTTCAATGTCAATCACATGTACATGTTACAAATGAATGAAATATCATTACAACGATAACGTCCACTAATATCCACATTTAGGATGAAGCTACATGCTTTTTGCTCACTCTTTCCATCTGCTTCATTTGTTTTAGACCTATTAATAATATGTGATAGCAAAAGGACGTCTAGACTAGAGGTATATTTTTTATGTTTTGTGTAGTTGTCTTTCATTTCGGCATTGATCTGTGATGATATGGCATTTACAGTCTATGAATGACACAGCTTTGCAGGCAAACATAATGGGCGTTAACATAGTCCATGCCGAAACCATTAAATTTAATTTAAGTATTCTAAGTGCACCTTTTGACGACTTTTATCAAAGTAATATAACACCATGATAAATAAAAAGTACAGTATGTCTAGATATACATTAGATTTCTTCATTTGACTTTCCATTATCCTGGACTCTGTGGTTGGGGCCGTTGGTTACAGTCCCTGGTATCTGGTGGTACCAAACAATTAGAAGGCAACAACAGTATGGCCATGGCTGACTCTGGTCTGAGAAAGGGACAAGATCAAGGATGATCCTTGGTTACAAGCCCCTGGGCCTATGATGAGGGTTACGATGTGGGTCATGGGGAATCCTTACCCTTAGTTACAATACGAATGTTTATGAAACAGTAATTAAGGAACCATTGACATTGGTTAGGGACTGAGGAACCATGTTCACAAATAACCTTTTGTTACAACCCCGCGCCTATGAAAAGAGGATGATGAAATTGCTTCGACATTAGTAACTCTTTGTTTCACTGATAGAGGTCAGATAGTCTAGCCATAGAGTTAAGTTTAATTGCAAAGACCTGTGCCTTTGACAAAGGCCAAAGTGATGAAGTTAAGCTTGGCTCCTGAGTCTGTGAGAGGGGCCAATGTTATATAACTTTAGGCTTGATTAAAATGCCCTAAGTCTATGATAGGGACAAAGGTCATAGAATTAAGCTTGGATACAAAGCCCTAAGTCTATGCTAGGGGCCAAGGTCATAGAGTTAAGCCTGGTTACAAGCTCCTTAGTGTGTCACTGCGCAAGGTCATCAAGTAAAGCCCAGTAACAAGGTCCTTTGTCTATGACAGACATCGAGAGACAAATCAATTACCTCATATCTTGTTTCACAGACAGACTGATGAAATTACATATGTAATGAACACGGATACAAGTACGGCATACTCGACTGGGTCGGAAAACATATGTTTTAACAACAATCCAGCCCTGTTAGGCACATGTATGAGTCAGAACGATCCAGGGTGATTTATCTTCTTTTCATTGGACAGATCATGTTCCTAAGGACAACGTCTTGACAATTACTTCGTCTTCTGTATTCTGGACGGTGGCTTTTTAACGCAAATAAAGATTTCAATTAAAAGCATATATAAATGAAAATAATTATAAAATGAAAAGGGAGAACTTAAAATCGGGATGACCTGAATTATTATCGATAATAGTTATAGAATAATATCATATATTTCATAATGAAGATCTATATATTTCAGTTTGGATAAACGTTAATGCGAATAAGCTGCCAGTACTCATAACTACTTACTGTAATTATAATCAAAATTTAATTAGCATGGCTTGTAATAACATTGGCTTCTATGTACACCTATACCAAGGCAATGCTCGTCTCAATCAGTACGCTAGTCTAGAAATACAGAGATAAATATATTCAAGGGTAGTAGATTTAATTTTCAACTTTCCTTATTTTCCGCCATTTCTCCCGTGCTCTGTAGGGGGTAGGAGGAAATCGCTGTTGTGGTTGGAGTTTGCCCTCATAGCAAATTCATACTCTTCGATCTCTGTTTCAATTTCATTCATCAATTCATAGCTAATTACAATGACATGTGCTTTATAAATGTGTACAATTTACATATTACAATGTAGTGAACTTGTAACTCAGCTCATTTAGACATTAATACTTTAATCGAAATGATGATTGGTAAAGAATTGTCAAAGTTAAAAGATATATTTCTGTTTGTCAAATGTTGGCTATAAAATAGCCTTAAATATTGAATAAAAAGGTAAGCAGCGAGTGATAATAGCTTTCTCCTAAAAAAAAATATAACATTGCTTTTGTGAAATTAAACGCTTAGTGCTAAAATGGATGTTTCGCTACTCTTACCTATTTGTTTTGTTCCCGTAATTGAACATATAGAGTACAATTAAATAAGGAAGTAATCTTAATCTTATCGCATAGACAACATTTTCTCATTAACTCTCTCTATGTCACATCTTATACCACACATGAACACCTCACCATTTCTACATATAATTAAACATACAGAATTATTCTTCTACATAATGTTTCACCGTAGTAACAATATTTTCAGTATACTGATCAGACATAGGAATGTATATGACCAATGATCACCAAGGTGTGTCCAGTTACAAACACACCTTTTCTGCTGGGGGCAAGGTTACAGAAAAGCGATAAGGCACCCCGAGTCGCCTGATTATCATGGCGTCTCATCAAACTATGAAGTACGTCACTTCCGCTTTGATAAGACAACCACCTCAAGGTACTGGAGATGATTTGAAACATCAAAACATTGTGTCTTAAACACTAAACAGATGTGCATTAAATATCAGACCCAGTCGATTGTGTTTTACACCGTCAACTGACGATAAATCACCGACACTGATTAAATGTCCGACATGTGCGTGTTTTCTTCAGCAATTCGAGCGAAATGATTAGAAATGACAGTATTTTTTTTTTTACTGAAAGCAACGTATTTTGTTAACATATTTCTAAGATAAAACATTGACCTGTACGTATGACATGTAAGTAAATGTGTCACTGGAAAACGATATGGAAATCGATATCAGTCACTGTCGCGCCTGTGTAGGAGTAGTGTATCTCGTGGTACAGACGGTATACAGGCACGTGTTAAGGAAGGTCGTAACCTCCAGCTCTTTTACCACCTGGCAACTACAGACAACGTAGCTGGCGGGGTAAACGTTTAATATTGTACCACTGGATAATTTGTTTACTATCAATATTCATATCTCTTAGAAATATCTATTTTACCGTTGTAGAATCGACTGTGTAGGATCATTTAAGTAATGCATGGGTTTGATTTTCGTTCGAAACTATATAAATGTATTGAAAACAAAAAGAATCTCGAAAAGGAAAGTTTTGTATACTGTAAAGTGCTAAGTTGCATGTTTTGGTTATTTTTGTATTTTGTATTAAAAACCTACACATGGGCATGTGCTTACAGCGCTAACATTAATCGTCCTCGTCAGCATATATTTACTTCGTGATGTCAATTTCACTTGCGGACGGTAACGACATCTAATTGTCTAATTTTAAAATGACACCTGGTAGCGGGTTTAAAAAGCATGGTTAGTTAAACACAAAAATCAATCAAACATTTCTTTTAAAAATAGTTTTTAAAATATTGAAATTCATATGTGTGTTTGAAAGCGTAGGTTTTCAAACAAATTGTTTTTTTTTTAATTTTGAAAGAATCTTTCGAAAAGGTAATTGAAAATTTTAGTTCGCGACTATAACAGCTATTCAGGCATTGAACTATCGTTTTTATATTGTGTTAAGTTTTGCAGGGTGCGAGGAAGCAATATTTCATGCATATTAAATATAATGTTGAAATAACCAAGAAATAAATTGAATATATTATGTAAATGTGTTTAACCTATGTCGTCTACATGTATCTATACAGCTGTTTATCTAACGCCTTGTATGTTCATCTTTACTTTCCATTTCAGGTAGTGGTACTAGGAGACAACGAACCGGAACCGGAAGCTACCACCCAACCAATTTGCCGAACGTGTAAAGCTGGATATTTTGCCATCCTTGAATGTAACGATAATCACGACACTGTATGCGCGCCTTGCACGGGAGACAGCTTCACCCCCAGTCCTAATCTCTTAAACAAATGTACCACCTGTTCCACGTGCGGTGATGGTTATTTTGTGATGAAGCCATGTAGCAGACATGATGACACCGTCTGTGAATCGTGTTTGTCAGTGAAGGACTCTCGTCTGCCTTCCTACCAGAAGCGTTGTTTAGACGCTGTTGTTGCTGATCAGACTCGTCTTCTTCCGGAACCGGAACCCAAAGAGACTCTGGTATTACCGGAAGGGGAGGGGTCAGCCGATGGGGGTGAGGAAATTTATCTAGGCTCAGAGTTTCAAGCGCCAGTGTTAGATAACACCGATGATATTATAGTTAATGCATCACAAATAATAAAGTTCGATGAAGATGAAGGAAGCGGCGACGAGGTAGAATTGAATATTGGTGCACAAGAAGAGCCAGACACGGAAACGGATTTGACGACTAGTTTACCCCCAGTAAAAGATACAAAAAGTGACGAAACAGAACAAAACATCACTCTTCAATCACAATCTACCACCACACAAAATACAGAACTAACAGATGGCGCTGGGTCAGTTGATTTCATTCCTATGACAACTACCTTTTCCACATTAACAGCTAAATCGACAAAACCGAGTTTTGTTCGCCTTACAGCGAAACCGGAAGTTCCTACCGTCACTCCTGTAGGATCGATACATATTGGTGAAGGTTTAAGTGTCAAGCCGGAAGTCGAGTTTACGTCAAAGAGCGGAGTCGGTCCCAGCGACAAAAACTACGTATTGTATACGGCTTCTCCACATAACAGAGGCAAGGAAAACAGAGGTAAAGTCGACATGACGTCATCATACATTGTCAAAATGATGCACGAAGTTTATAGTTAAGCTACAAGTAATGTTGTCTAGACGACAGTATAACAGTTAATCGTGTTTCGGTTTGACTGACGTCATCATTCCGACTATATTACACTGGCCAATTAGATCCAACATCCCCAGCTAAAATTTGTGATGTCCTCGTCATACTGGTAGTGACGTCATTACTTTTGATATTCTATTGCAATGTCTGATGCAAAGCATCTGTCAAAACTCTATCAAACACGTCTGATATCTGTCATAACTCTATCAAACACGTCTGATATCTGTCATAACTCTATCAAACACGTCTGATATCTGTCAAAACTCTATCAAACACGTCTGATATCTGTCATAACTCTATCAAACACGTCTGATATATGTCATAACTATATCAAACACGTCTGATATCTGTCATAACTCTATCAAACACGTCTGGTATATGTCATAACTCTATCAAATAGATATCATGTCATAACTCTATCAAACACGTCTATCAATCACGTCTGATATCTGTCAAACCTCTATCAAACACGTCTCATATCTGTCAAAACTCTACCAAACACGTCTGATATCTGTCATTACTCTATATCAAACACGTCTATCAATCACGTCCGATATCTGTCATAACTCTATCAAAAACGTCTATCAATCACGTCTGATATCTGTCATTTCTCTATATCAAACACGTCTGATATCTGTCATAACTCTATCGAACACGTCTGATATCTGTCCTAGCTCTATCAAACACGTCTATCAATCACGTCTGATATCTGTCATAACTCTATCGAACACGTCTGATATCTGTCCGAACTGTATCAAACACGTCTGATATCTGTCAAAACTCTATCAAACACGTCTGGTATCTGTCAAAACTCTATATCAAATAGATATCATGTCATAACTCTATCAAACACGTCTGATATCTGTCATACCTCTATCAAACACGTCTGATATATGTCCTAACTCTATCAAACACGGCTGATATCTGTCATAACTCTATCAAACCCGTCTGATATCTGTCAAACCTCTCCCAAACACGTCTGATATCTGTCAAACCTCTATCAAACACGTCTGATATATGTCATAACTCTATCAAACACATCTGATATCTGTCATAACTCTATCAAACCCGTCTGATATCTGTCAAACCTCTCCCAAACACGTCTGATATCTGTCAAAACTCTACCAAACACGTCTGATATCTGTCAAACCTCTCCCAAACACGTCTGATATCTGTCAAAACTCTTTCAAACACGTCTGATATCTGTCATAACACTCTCAAACACGTCTGATATCTGTCCTAACTCTATCAAACACGTCTTATATCTGTCATAACTCTATCAAACCCGTCTGATATCTGTCAAACCTCTATCAAACACGTCTGGTATATGTCATAACTCTATCAAACACATCTGATATCTGTCAAAACTCTATCAAACACGTCTGGTATCTATCAAAACTCTATATCAAAAAGATATCATGTCATAACTTTATCAAACACGGCTATCAATCACGTCTGATATCTGTCATAACACTCTCAAACACGTCTGATATCTGTCATACCTCTATCAAACACGTCTGATATATGTCCTAACTCTATCAAACACGTCTTATATCTGTCATAACTCTATCAAACACATCTGATATCTGTCATAACTCTACCAAACACGTCTGATATCTGTCAAACCTCTATCAAACACGTCTGGTATATGTCATAACTCTATAAAATAAATATCATGTCATAACTCTATCAAACACGTCTGATATCGCATTAGCTCAAAAGAAAGGAACATATTCATCATTCGAGTTTTTAATCCAATCCAACATGTTATGTCCAATAAAGATAAGATACGCAGGGTAAAACTTTCAAGTGTACTTTCATTAACATGTAGCTTTATTCATTGATTATTTAGATCTTTCACACTTAATAATAATATTAGAAAAAGAAATATAAAGAAAATATGAATTACACAAACAGATTTGTGAGCACAGTGGTCCGTTTATATCAAAAGCAATTGTTAAGTCCATGTCCGTTTTTACATTTTAACTTACATAAAGCGGGTTTTATAGTCCAGATAATTTCAATCTAGCTATTGTTGTACCTTTTTCGAGCTATTGGGACTACATTTGCCTGACGATGACCCACATTTAGCCACCCATCACCAATCCCTTTTTTAATAAAGCACAAATTTCCCCCTCGGTCTTAAGCACTCTGCTGTGCTACCAGGTCGTGAAGTCATCAAACAATAATAAATAAATAGTCCTGCTCAATTGAACTTGCACTAAGGAAGCACGGTTAAAAACTTGAGATAACATTTACCCCCGTAAACCAGTCACTATTACTGAATTGAGATGTTCTTTTTATACGATACCCAAATAATGAATGGGCTGGGAAATAATCATAGTTAAGTGTTCTGTCAACAACAAGCACCGACCGATGGTTAGAAAGCCCTGCGTGTAGAGGCCCTGTGTGTAGGGGCCCTGTTTGTAGGGGCCCTGTGTGTAGGGGGCCTGTGTGTAGGGGCTCTCGGGAACGGGTCGTTCACATGGGAAGGAGCATGTCAGGTTGTAGTTATGTAAAAGTAGCTAAGGAAGGGGATATTATACAGTTAAAGTATGGTCATGAGGGATATAGCAAATTTCTGGTTCCCCGCGACCAGGGCTATTTCCCGAGGCGAAGCCCAGGGAAATAAACCTGGCCACGGAGAACCAGAAACTTGATATATCCCGAAATAACCATGCTTAAACTGTTTTATTATATCGATACAAAAGCAACAATCTGACAATTTTTATTTTTAACATCATCAAAATAAACAAATTGCAGACTACAGTACAACAATATCACTTGGCAAGAGTGGGGTGTTGATTTAATTTCAACATTGACAAACTAATTCGGAGTCCCGACTTCATCGACGCTAATTGGTCGATAACTCGATCAAATCACGCCCATCCTCTGAACTAGTTAACTGGGTCTTAGTTCTCCCAACTAACGCACCCTTTTTGTAATGTTGGGATTTATGACATTACTTTTATATAGTGTAAAATAGGTATAGGTATAATAAAGTAGTTTATGTGGACAGTAGATTGTGTGGAACGGGTGACTTGGCTTAGAGAGGTGGAGATTATGCGGAAATGATAGCTTAGGGTTGTGAGTATGTGGGAAGTGTGGCATAGGGGGTGTAGCTTATGTGGAAGGTTTCTTTAATAGGCTAAAGGTTATGTGGGAAAGTAAACTCATTGAGTGTAGGCTATGTGGGAAGAATGGTTAATGGGGTGTAGGCGTTGTGGGAAGGGTGGTTTAGAGTAGTGTAGTTTATGTAGGAAGAGTTGTTCAGGGGGTGTAGGCTATACGGGAAGGCTAGTTAAGAGGGCTAAAGCTTATGTGGAAATGGGAGTGAGGGTATGTTGGAAGAGCGGCTTAACATACTTTTTATGGCCAAGAAAACGGACAGTGGATAATGTAGTTTTGATCGTTTGATAAGATTGGTTTTCTGATCTACAGAAGAGGATGGATGGTGTTTGGTAAGATTGTGGCAAACAGGTGGGGATAGGGCTTGGATCTGTGCTGAGAGTAGGGCAGCTTTAGCTTCTTATAAAGGTAGAAGTAGGAATTATGGTAGCAAAGTATCTGGACCATTTGTTGCGAAATTAAGAGACGATGACTGAAGATGGCTAGCTCGGCCAGGTTCCTACTGTATACTTAAAGGCGGGCCGGAGGTTGAAGAAGGCAACATGGTTAGATCCAGGTCTGGTAGCAGTAATGATGACCTAAAACAATCGACCACACCCAGTAGAGTAACATATTGTTTAGTGTTACCTTTGTTTGGGAGAGTACTCGTCCAACAGCTGTGAATTGAGTGTGTGCAATGTGGTGGAGAGCCCTACGTGGTTGTAGATAGGTTCAAGTACCACAGTACCACGGCCTTAATTACAGTAATATCTGGGTACACTTGTTTTCAGGTTAGTTGTGTACATCTCCAACTGTACTGATTCGCCAGTGAATCGGAACCAATTACGGTTAATGAAGCAGATAAGATTACTGTCATTGAACCGAAAACAAAAAAGATGCACGTGCATTGTGATAATTCACACGTGAATGTTTCATGGCATCAAGCTACGGTCCCCTTTTCCACGGTACAAGTGCAACCAGTGCACAGGCGCAGACAGATAATTAGCGACACCTAGTTCCGACTGGAACACTTTGTACATAGGTCAAGGTCGCACGAGAAATACTTTCCCACAATTACGTTGTCAGATGACGGCGAGGAGACCCGAGTTAAACGCTTGATAAATCACATCTGCCTTACTATTAAATATTAAATGATGTAGGAGGCTTTTATAAGAGGTGGTTCACATTGAACTAGTGGCCTTGTTCCATGTGTAGGTTTTCTGTGGTGCTTGTATGTCAAACTTTCACGGGCTGACGGCAGTGTCAGCTGTACTACACAAAAACATTACACATTTCAGATGGCTTTCGAAAGATACACGTGACGATGCACGTACATTATATATATATTATGCATATTATTATACATATATTATATTCAGGTGCATACATTACAAGAATAATCATACGTGTCTTACATTTTATCATTGCTTGTTTTTACATTTGAAATCGAATTAGCATTTTATTCACTGTATTTTAACATGAATAATAGTTTTAATGTGCTGTTTTACTTTAATTTATGTTTTAGCAGGACAGCTTCTGTATGCATGACGGTCCGTTAAACATTTACTCAGTATTTTACATTTTAATTCTAATAATATCTGTGACAAAATGTTTCCAAGAACTTACCTATTATCAAAGTACTGTGTTCACACCTTGACCTCGGCACGGTGTTCCCGGGTCAAAGGTTATGCTCTATTGGCACACCGTCTTTTGTGCCTTTTAAATGGTTTATCATGTCATTCCATGGAGATGGAAGGATTCCACTTCCGGTACAACCGGTAGATTTTTGAGTATTCAGAGATCTTATTTCATTCGAGCTTATCTATGTCGAAATGATACGGAAATCGAATATATTTCAAGAAAAAGACATTATTCCATGTATCGAATTTTAGACAATCTCTTTGAACCAAACAGCAATTTCGATATAAGCCGAGTTTCGAGTCGTCATTATCTGACTGCTCACCATATACCTCTATCATATATTTCCTTACAAATTGTAACATATTTTAATATGATTTAATATGGTTTTTAATATGATACATTATGGACGCAGGCTACAAGCCTCTATATCCATATCAGTACATACTAGAAAATGTACATTAAATATACTTAAAGTAGGAATATGAATGTCTGTGTTACAGTCCATCACCACCACGTGGAGAATTCGCTGGACAAGCCGGTCCCCACAGCAGAACAGAAGGTGGGCGCCCAGAGCTCCCCCCACGAACATGTAAGTAATCCCAATTTATTCATCAGATTATACTTTCATCAGGTTAGTGTGGGCTCTATTAATCGAGACAACCGCATATATGTAATTCCCGATCAGTCAATTGATTCACCATTCAATTAATTCAAAACCATTTTCACAAAATAATATAAAATAAATGCATAGATCATATGTGAATTCAAACCCCCGGAAAGCCGTCCCTCTGACCTCTGTGTTTCTGCGACCCGTCCAATTCTGTGTTACAGGAAGAAGGCACCAGCAAAGTGACTGTTGGAGTGGTGGTCGCAGTGGCCGTAGCGGCAGCCTTTGTTTTCTTCATCCTCGGATTTATCGTCAGTGTGCGATGTCGTCGAACGCGAGAGTCGTTCCAGGTGATGAAGGTACGCGAAAAAGTGGCTCCCCCCAACCCTAGCCAACCTGCCCATCTCCAACAATAGAAATATCTGCTTCCCCATTCCTCATCGAATGTAACGATGAGTTTGTGTCTAAATTTGCTACCTGTAATGGGTTTCTGAACTACTGTATCATAAGTGGGTGTATTATTTTATTATTAAGCTTGTTAAAAGGTTATGAATGTGAAAAGTCTGAGATCAATGGGTTGAGAGGTGACAAAGTGTATCGACTGTTAAATCCCCGCGAGGTCCCCTCTGATCTTCGGTAGCCACGGTGGTAACTGATAGTATACCCCTGCAACGAAGTTGTAAGGGTAAAACGAAATAGTCTGTTTGAACGGAACCCTTACAGAGAGGTGCTTGACTGTTACCTCTCCAATTTATGGAGTTATGCCCCTTTTTTTAAGAACTATCATTTTGGCGACATTTCTAATTCAATTACATATTTTATTTGTGCAAAAATATTTATTTGTTACAGAAGGTGGATAAGAACGGGTCTTGGAATAGTGGCTCGCCCGTCCCTATAAATATCGAATATCGTGACGAGGAGCGTGATGGTATATATGATGTCATCGACAAGGACACAGCACGCCACCCTAGCGGAAAGCCGATAAAGCAGGAGCACGTAACTCCAAGACGAGTGGAGGATTTGTATGCTGTTCCAGATAGGAAAAAGAAGAGCAAAGACCCAGCGCCACGTGTTGGTGGGTTTCTTGAGTAAACGGTGTTTTATAATGATACTTAAGTTAAATATTACAGTAAAACCCTCGGTTAGTACTTCAGATAGTATCCGCCTTCAGGACAGACACTTTATTCAGGAGCACATTTTCTTTTCATCGACATTGATTTGTTTATTCCGAAATTCGTTATTACGAGCTTCAGTTTTTGAGAAAAAGTAACCGAGCAATGAATTCCAGAGTAGAGCGATTTGTTATGTTTTTTGATTATTTAGAATAATGAGAATTTTAAATCGAATAGCACAGATTGGACACTAGACAGGAAATCCTCAGATTTAATGAAATTATTACTTAGTACATGTGCTGAAATAAAAAACCGTAGTCGTGTATAAAGTAAAATAATCTTGCAATTGTCTTGTAAGTTGGAGAGGACAACAAATATAACTGGTGTAGGTTTAGGATGACTGTTCAATCACAGTCATGGTTGTAAAGTCAGAGTGTTCTAGATGTGTGTACCTTAACTTTCACTCATATCGACATACATCTTTAATTATGAAGTCAGAATGCAGATATTTTTAATTTTTGTTGTAGATCATATCGACATAATCAAATTCATTGATGAGACGACGGATGACGAGTTCGGAACGAAAGATGAAGAACTCCTTGGTTTGCTGAGGAAAGGTCGGGAGGGGGTGACCCATGATCACAACGGTTCCATACCCCGTCTCGACGACTCCGACAGTGGCGCTGATTTCGGCCCATCAGACACGCCACCTGTCGAAGTCAGTCATCAGGAAGGGGAGACAATAGCGCGAGACCCAAATGTCATAATCGAAGAGGAAGAAAACGAAGATGAATCATCGCCAATGCTTACAAATGACTCTCAAGAAAGCACGCTCTCACAAGACGCGCATGATTCAGTTGAGGATTGATAACTGTGTATACAATTATGATGACATCCAATAGATTTGTGTAAGCAGTCGCCAAGTCATCATATTATGTGTATTACAGAAACACTGGCGGAGTGAGTACTATTAAAGAGTCCACATGTCACAGGTCAACTTCATCGTGACGTCATCGACTTAAGTGTACATAAAGGATGCACGTATGACTTGCTTCTATAAAGTACCAGGTGGTGACATCATTATTATGACTCTTCTCAATAATCAATGAGATATAAACGACGAGACCATTAGCAAACAATCAGGGACGGAAGTAAATGTTGATCACACTAATACGTACAATTCACAACACATGAGTTTTAAACGTTAATCGTCACAGAGATACTATAATACAAGCTGCCTTTACATATGTGTATCATTGTGTCGCAACCCTGTGCTTCACAACGCTTTTGCACTTACAGTGGCGTAGCATACAAAAGGGAAAAAATCAAAAAATCTTCTTGAAAACTTTACTCCGACGGAACATATGATACTGTGTTGTCCTCGGATAATCGTTGAAGGGCCTTTCAGTCTTATTATTTGTTAATACACGGGTGATTGTTTCTAGAGCCTCCTATAATTTTGTTCCAGCTATGTAAGCATACACTCCGAAAAATGATTTGCTACGCCACTTATTCACAGATTTAAATCATATAGTGCTATACTAGGACCAGTTTTGAATATTCAACAAATGATAGTCAAGTGCTAAAATCAAACATCGGTGATAATATGATAGTGCTACATTGGAGGTTATATAATGTTATCATGAACAATAGGGGATCCCGATTTCCGCAACTAAGTGCCGTATAGTATTTTAATTTATTTTTATCATTTTAGTGCATAATATGAACCAGTGGTGATGGGTTGCCTGCGGTGTTAGACGTACGTACAAGATAGTGAGGTTGACATCGTTTATTTTCGTTACATTTTGTGACACACTCGTTACTATACACTATGCCATATCCGCGCCACATAGATCGGCATAGGATCGTTGTTCAACACTAACATACACAAATGTATACAAATACTGTTAATATTGAAATATTCTGCTGAATCGCTTTTTAGATTACAAGTCTATAACTATTCCTTATTGTTCCCAATACATAAATATGTTCCTGTACCTTTTTGTAAGACATTTTATGCTCAACACAGAGTAATTGCATTGACAACGAACCATTCTTAATTAGATATGATTTAGGTTTACATACCTAAAATTTAATTTCTAGATGTTGATAGACTTATTATTTCTCTTGGTGGACTTATCTTTGCTATTTTGCCAGCAGAAAACCTCTCGGAAAGCGTCACTTATTTCGTCAACCACCTTATTTAGGGAACCCATTTTTACAAGTTTTGTTTCCATTAATATAGTGCTAGATAGTTATTTGCGTACTATACCGCCGCTCAAATCGCAGAAACACTAACATGTAAATAGTGTATAAACATGTATATTCTAGTAAAGAATTTGTGCAATAACGACAATGAGAAATTAATAAGTGTCGTTTTGTTAACATTAGAGTGAAGATGTATGTGTATCTGATAGCCGTGGAGATAACTTTTATATCAAATAAAGGTTTGGACGAAACAGGAACAAAGAATGATAGAGAAACAAGAAGTTGGAATGATAACAGGAAAAAAACATTTGAATGATACTATATTGAGCGCTTGAGAGGCTGATCCTTTCCCCACCCTCGGTTCTTGTGACGTCATAGTGCGTGAGGCTATACATACAAACGTGTAACTTACTAGTCAGGTCTTCGTGTGCCTCCTCAACTTATATTTGGAGGGGTTGCTTGCTTAATTTATTAAACTAAGGTATTTGTACATGGTTGTCTCAATCAGTGTTTTCTGTTTGATTATGAGGATTCATTATCTCCCTTGATTTTTTTCTAACTGCCAGATTTGTGTTTGAATTGCACACGTTTTCGTACATAGTAGTAAGCATCGGGACGATGTTTGTGACGTCATCAAACAAAACACGCTTTGACATTCGTAGCTAAGGAAACGCACGCTGTCTTGTTTGTATTCAACAGCGTGTGATGTTTTATTTATAATTTTAATTAATTATGTATCATGTTATCTTGTTATGTATATAATATTGTATGTCGTCATTTGTTGTATCTGATCGCTCACCACGACACTTTTAATTACGATTAGCTTGTGAAGCTGATCATGACGTTTCAGAGAAATGACGTTTCTTTTTAACTATGACGTCATCATCCGCCAGTTACGTTGACGGATCCTTGGCGATCTAGCTTCAATTATCCTCACATTTTTGAATCGACATTTCGTGCCCTTTCGTTCCCAATAAGATAATACCGTTGGGATCTTAGATAAGCTACTGTATAGGTAAAGATTTTTCGAATTGTTCTGATTCAGAATTACCAAGGTCGGACTGAAGGTACATGACGTTATTGGCGTCCTCCTGTTATTCTAAATTGTTACCTTCCACATACGTGTGATGTTTGTCCGATTCGCCTTCACTGAAAGCCCTTTTTTATCAGTATCTGATAACTTATAAGTACCGTGGTTTACTCTTACCTTGATTTACCCGCATACATTCGTTGTACATGTTTCAAATCTGTCAACAATACGATAATCAAATACAAAGTACAAAAATGGTGTTATTTTCGTAGTGTGGAACTTTTTTGAAAGCACATGCATGCTTTATTGTATAGCCTTAAGGTGCTGTAATTTGTATCGACAATAACCTGTGTCCGAGATACAATAACCAATTAATACGAGTTGTGCATTTATGAACAATTTAATTCTTTATGAATAACATTTTGGAAATAATGTGTTGTGAAATATGGAAAAAAATAAAATTTAGAAATTCACACGAGTTATAGTTTCTTGTCCTTGACCTAGTTACCTCGTTATCAGACAAGTTAACCGACTACAACCCAAGTCTGGTTATCTTAATGAACTCAAGCATTTCTGAATTATATAGTTGAAAATGTATCTTTGATTTACCACCGATTTGTATGTTATTTTGATGAATCATTTTAACTCTATATATATATTTGAAACTTCTGTTTTAGTTTTTCTAAATTTCCAGAAGAAGAAAATAGTCGTTACCAGGTATGGTGATATTCATGCTGGGTCTATATGATATATAACCGCAGTGTACCCGTTACGTGGCAGACGACACTGACGCACTGTGTCACCTGAAACACGGGTAAAAATTCCAGGTACAAGTCGACATGTACTTTGCCGTGTTATCAGCGGTGTGAAACTCAATGTATTGATGAATCACCTGCATGCAGCTGACGTCATGGTGGCTTAACAATATTGGGCAACTTGAGGTTATCATAGATTATAGATTATGATAAGTTATCAATTTGAAGTACCACAGTCACTTGGATTAAGCTGTATGTATAGTTATTGTTTTGAAAAACGAAAAACAAATTAAAAAACCGTTATCACAGTTTTTTTTATATTTTTATTAATTTCCTGTAATATTGAAGTTTAAGCTGACCTTGTATTTATTTTCTTTTTTTCTTTGTTCCATAAATGTTCTTGGAATTAGAACATGTACTAATTGAACCTACATAACAAAAGAACCGTTAAAATCATTATTTTAAGTAGAAAAGACTCAATATACTTACACATGATACAAGGACTAATGCATTCTATTTTTATCAAACTCTCAAAAATGCCAACCTAGTAAAGTGTAGTGTGATGATTTACCATCAGAAATAAAAGATTACATAGACAGAGGAAATCTCCTGTAAATGCACATGTGTGTGTTCCAGGTTCTGACCCCTGTCATAAATCGTCTGGTGTCTCAACTTCATCTTTAAGTAGTGATATTCCATTGGTACTTTGTTTTTACAGGTCTCCAGATTAAAAATGTATTCACTGGTCAAGTATCGCCTTCAAACCCGTCGGCACTTTCCGTAAACGAGAACATGCGGAAAGTGACGACGGTTCCCAATTTGTGCTATTTGTATAATATCTACATGTAATCAAAGATAAGTTTGATGTTTATAGTGGACATAGACGGTTTGGAGAGTATCCTGATTATACAGGATTCAATAAGACAGATTACATTGTGTGTGTGTGTGTGTGAGTGTGTGAGTGTGTGAGTGTGTGAGTGTGTGAGTGTGTGTGTGTGTGTGTGTGTGTGAGTGTGTGTGTGTGAGTGTGTGAGTGTGTGTGTGTGTGAGTGTATGCGAGTACGTGGTTTACCAGTAGCTTGTTCCCATGACATATTTTGATTTTTTTACATAGAAATATATATATTGCAACGTACCTAGGCCTGTAGACATGTTACAAGTCTGATTGATACAAGTCTCCAGATTACATAGAGTTGCATTCAGAACAAAACATCTAGTTGCCGATTTCACGTATCCCTGTAGAAATGTACATGTATAGGTACAATTGTGGTGAAATCTGTATGATTTGTGTCTCAGGTGCTGTACATACTAATAGTAATATGATGTGTATATATTATATACTATATATAATACTATTATATATACACATCATATTACTATTAGTGTGTCCAGCACCTGTGATGTGTGTAGGTCTCCGGAATGAAGCCTGTACTCGTTTATCAGTAACTAGGTGATAACGAATAGTTTGCAGTAGAATTCGCCCTGTGACAGTCAAACATGTGTTTTATATTTGTAGACAAACAAGACATTTTACGTCACATTTGTCAGCAAAACGAGAGGAAAACAAACAGTGGTTAAGGACGTTCAATCATACGAGTTTGGTTCTATGGAGAAGCCGGGGAAAATTAGCTGGGTGTTTGTCGGTTTAAACATCTATACATGTAGGTGTAGCAATATATGAAACTTGTATATGTCATTTTCATTATAATTCACTCAATTGTATTCTCATATCTTTATAAAGTTATTGAGAACTTTTTGACAAAAAATTGGCTAACAACCCCGAATCTTACACCCTCGAGGCCTGAGTCAAACAAAGCAAGTGCAGTACTAAATCTGCTGTATCACACTGAACAAATACCCACTAGACTAAACAAATAGCGTCTCGTGCTGCGTCAGTTTTGTTTAGTAAAAGCACAGACGTATGTACCACATGTCGCTGGTAAAAGTACGTTTTTTTTGTGATAATTCAATAATACACTATCAACATATTGAATATCGACGGGGAATGTTTAGAGGTTCTTGCCGGACTCATTACCAGGATAGCTCTTCGGATATATAGTGTACCGCTGAAAGTAAACTGAACACTTCATTCTCTTTGAAATGCAAGCTTTTAGTGTCTTATTTGAGCATGTTATTAGCTGGTTTTTTTTATTCTAATAAAAATAACATTTATTCACTTTATTCTAATAAAAATAACATTTATTCACTTTATTCTAATAAAAATAACATTTATTCACTTTATTCTAATAAAAATAACATTTATTCACTTTATTCTAATAAAAATAACATTTATTCACTTTATTCTAATAAAAATAACATTTATTCACTTTATTCTAATAAAAATAACATTTATTCACTTTATTCTAATAAAAATAACATTTATTCACTTTATTCTAATAAAAATAACATTTATTCACTTTATTCTAATAAAAATAACATTTATTCACTTTATTCTAATAAAAATAACATTTATTCACTTTATTCTAATAAAAATAACATTTATTCACTTTATTCTAATAAAAATAACATTTATTCACTTTATTCTAATAAAAATAACATTTATTCACTTTATTCTAATAAAAATAACATTTATTCACTTTATTCTAATAAAAATAACATTTATTCACTTTATTCTAATAAACAAAATTTCTAAAACAATCAGCATAGAGAATGTTCCAGTTAGACACCAGAATTTTCGTTTTCAGAGACTCTCGTGTGAGAAATCACTCCGATTGATATCATATTCACGCGGCTGGCTCTACTGTCGAAATTCACAGGATAGTTGGTGGTTTTTTCCATATATATATATACAACAACCATAGTACAGCGTGGTTATTAACGCACTTGATGAAGAGTGGGAAATGAAATTGTGACCCGAGGTTGCTTTCCACTTTTCGTTTTCAAATATGCAGATATAAGAAATATTGTAGTTTCGTTCTCTTTATTGTAGGAGAAATACATGTACGACGTGTTTATTTATTTCGCTGCGAAATAACGATAATAAAATATGATCATTGAAATGGCACAAATTACAATTAACAGCGTTCATAATAATGTCAGGATCTGAAAAAAAAATATACACGCTAAAATCGATGTACCAGTTACGATTAATGAACACATGTGTGTGACGTAATCGTAGCCACCTGGACGGAGAGTGTTCGTACCAGTCGGGAAGTACTTACCCTGATGTAAAAAAACACTAACTTTCTGTTATATTTCAAAATATGGTGTGGAAGGTTCAACAGTAATGTTGTCATATTTAGAGTGCAACCTGTTATTGTAACATTTTATCAAAACATGTGAAAGTATACCGGTGTCCAAATTGTCATATCATGTGTCAATGTGTACCAACTGCCGTTTATCTAAACATGGTCGCAGCAGAGTTTGCCATATTTACTAAATTTAACGATCCTTACTCAATTGACCTTGCAGGGTGGGCGTAAGAATTGTACCTGCTGCCCCCAATTGCATCATCGTAAGAGGCGACTAAATTTGGGACCTTATCTCTTCTCTCCTTTCTAAATAACCTTCTTCATTCTAATGTCTCCCTTGACAATACCTCATTTTTGGCCATTTGTTGAGCGTTCGCCCCTGTGAGGAAGGCTTTGGGTTATGTCCCCTGTCCGAGACATACCAAAGTCTTTAAAAATGGTAGTTTCTACTCCTACTTAACGCTCAGCAAATTAGCAGTGAGACGACTGGTTCGCCCGTTGTCAGTATAATGTGACCGGGTGGGACGTCCAGCTGGGTGTCTTCGTCAGTATGTTTCAGTGAGGTAGCACTATAAAGTCGGCATCAGTTCCGTGCTATCACAAGGAGACAAACACGAACATATCGCAGCCTCCCAAAATACACACACATACACTACACGCATGCATCTTACACACAGGGGAGGCCGTCCTTAAATGACCTTAGCTGTTAATAGGACGTTAAACAAAATAAAACCAAACCAAACCTTACTCAATTAGAAACAGAAATGACGTCACCATTCCGAAATCCCGGTACAATTGTTTTCGTTTTTGCCATCAATTTTACTTTACTTAGACTCAGCTACATAATGTTCACCTTCATTTTCGTCTAACACAACAATTTCCTAATATTTGATTAAAATACCTTTCTACTACAGTCTTGGAGTAAGAGAACTTGCTATTTTACCTGCGAATTTGAGGTACGAATGTTGATCCTTTATAAGAGTAAACTTTGTTGAGAATTGTGATGTACTTACGGAAATCTTTGTGAAAATGTCTATCGGTTCTTTTTCATATGACTTTGTATTCAAAGAAGTGATCTACTTTTAATCGTTGGAACTTAAATCTGGTTGTTGAAAATGTACTTCTCCTCGGAACACTACAGTTTTCACAATCATTCCAATCATAGGTCTAGGTTAAATGATACCAAGCTACAGTGTTCATCTATCCTGTTGTGTTGTGTTGTTAATGCTTTCGAGTCTTTCTGACATGTCGCTGTTAATGTCCTATTTAAACGGCGTTCACTGTAATACATCTATATGCTATTTCGCAATCTGCGTTAACGTATTATGGAGAAAGCCTTCGTAACGTTTTAATAACCTGTCACCAATCTGTTTGCTTCGTTTACGCACTGTTAGTTTTAAAGATAAAAATGGTATTGAGTCATACTTTCTGGTAAAACAGTTTAAATTTATATGGAATAGGTAAAATGATTTCTCCAGAGGATTGGCTATTCGGCTTTGTCGACGA